GGAGGGAGAGAGAGAGAGCGCGAGCGCGTGTGTAGGGGAGCTGCACTGGGGTGGGGAGGCCAGGTGAATGGGAGGAGGGGGTGGGGAATTTAGATGCTTCCCTAGCCCTCATTTAAGACCTGGTTCGTCCCTTCCGCTAGGAGCAGCGTTTCCCCTCCCAGAGAAGGCTGAGGAAGCCCGGGGGGTTCAAATCGCGGCGGGCTGCAGGAAAGGGGAGGGAAGGGAGTGGACCTGGCGATCTCCGGCTGGGGCGGGGCCAGGGCTGGGGAGAGTCCTAATATAGAGCCGGCGCTGCGGGAGAGCAGGGCAGCGCGGAGACTGGAGCTCTAGAGCCCGGCAGAGCCTAAGAGTGTCTGCTAGTCCCGCTGTCCCGGCCTCGCGCCGCTCCGGCCATAGCCGCACCGGTAAGTGCGGGCCACCCTAAGAGCTCAAGGCGGATGCTGCGCTCCTGCGGGCTTCACTTCCCCCTACCCTCTGCCCCGGCTCGGCATCCGTTCGGCATCGGCTGCGCGCTGAGTCACCGCGCCCCGTGCCCATGCTTCCCCTTGCGGGTGCCGGTCTAGGCTGCGCCGCGACCCGTGAGCCTCCAGAGAGGAGAGACGGCCGGGCCTGGGGAGCCTGGCCACCGCGGGCTTGTCCCGCAGGGAGCCTAGGGGATCCTGGCCTGAACTGCAGTAACCCGCCCGGTCCGCCTTTGCGCTCCTCCGCTTCTTCTCCTGACTTATCCTTCCTTTGCAGAGCCACTGTCTAGAGCCCCAGCCTCGCCACCATGAGAGTCCTGCCGGTGTGCCTGCTCCTCTGTGCCTTGGTCGTGAGGGACTCCAAAGTGAGTGGCTTCCCTGCTTTGACTTATGGCGGCGGGAGGGGGCTCGCAAGACCCCTGAACAGCGCCGGGGAAGGAAGGGGCTGCACAGGGAGCTGGAGTCCGAGTGCATCCACAGCGGGGCCAAACCCTCCCTGGGAAATGGGACAGGTGTGGCACTGGGGCCTTGAGAACCAAGGGAACCGCACTTGCCGGCAAGGGAGGAAGAAGCCATAGGGACTGTTCCAGCCTGCTGGCACCTGATTTGTGAAGCTTGCTTGAGTCAATCCTTTTCTCCCTGCTGGAAACCTATGACCTTCCTTCCATGTGTGGTCTAGTTAGACATGAACAGGGTGAGGAGAGAGGGAACTGGAAGGAGGGGTTTGTTTGGGGACTGGGGCTAGTTTATCCTTACCCGGGAGTGCCAGGAGCACTGGACCTTTGGTGAACTTTCTCTTTGACACCCCCCCCCCCGCCTCATTTCTTCCAGGGCAGCCATGAACTTCATCAAATGTCTGGTGCATGTGAGTATCCACCCCTTGCACAATATCTGGTTGCACAGATATCTTGGAAAATCCTCAAGGGGCAACCCCTCCCTGGCCCTGCTGTAGGGCTGACTCCCCCCCCCCCACCCCTTGCCTCCTCCCACGCTCCTTGCTTACCCCTCAACCTTTGTGCTCTCCAGCGAACTGTGGCTGTCTGAATGGAGGAAAATGTGTGTCCTACAAGTACTTCTCCAACATTCAGCGATGCAGCTGCCCAAAGAAATTCCAAGGGGAACACTGTGAGATAGGTACGGGGATCCTGACTCTAACTGGGGAGGACAGAGTAGCACAGATTTGGGGGCAGGGAGACATGGGTGGGATGCAAGAGCAGGCAGGAGTTAGGTGGAGGTGGAGGGAGGGCATCTTCATTCCTGTGTGATATACATAGTCAAACACAAACACATAAAGCTGTGGCTGCGGGAATATAAAGTAGGGATGGAAGGAGACACTTTCCAATGTCTTCTGCCAGACCTGAAATCATGTGCGGACCAGCAGGATCTCTAGGGTACCTGTCTCAACTTTCTCCTCTTTCTAATCTCATCTGCATATCCTTCCATAGATACATCGAAAACGTGCTATGAGGGGAATGGTCACTCTTACCGAGGGAAGGCCCACACTGATATCATGGGCCGGCCCTGTCTCGCCTGGAACTCTGTCACCGTCCTTCTGAAAACGTACCATGCCCACAGAACTGATGCCCTGCAGCTGGGCCTGGGGAAACACAATTATTGCAGGTGAGGTGGGGGCAGCAGGGACCCTCCTCATGGCCTCACAGAAACCCTTGTTGCCATCCTTTCTGCTTCCCGAGTGCTGGCCATAGCATGAGAAAATCAAGGCCTCTGGTTGAGTCTTCCCTGGAGGGGAGGATGCAGAAATGGCATTCTGGGCTGGAATGACACCCCCCTCCCCTTTGTGCTGCCAGGAACCCAGACAACCGGAGAAGGCCCTGGTGCTATGTGCAGGTTGGCCTAAAGCAGCTTGTCCAGGAGTGCATGGTGCACGACTGCTCTTTTGGTGAGTGTCACTGGCCTGTTTATGATGGGGGTGTGGAAGGGGACAAACAACAAACTCATATGTTCCCTTATTCCATCATCACAGGAGGGATGAGGAGGGAGGCCTGCCTGGCCCTGAAAAACTGGGAGGTCAGAGGACCAGAAGGACATTTGATCCTACCTCCCTCTCCAAGATACACCTCTCTCTCTCCTGCAGGAAAAAGTCCCTTCTCTCCTCCAGAAAAAGGAGACTTTCAGTGTGGCCAGAAGGCTCTGAGGCCCCGCTTTAAGATTGTTGGGGGCGAATTCACCACCATCGAGAACCAGCCTTGGTTTGCAGCCATCTACAGGAGGCACCGCAGCGGCTCTGTCACCTACGTGTGCGGTGGCAGCCTCATCAGCCCCTGCTGGGTGGTCAGCGCCACCCACTGCTTCATGTATGTCCCTCTGTCTCTTCTCCCAGACCCTCCGGCCCTACCCCCAAACAGATCCCTTTCTCCTTCCCAGCAAAGGATTCCACTTGAATTCTACCCCCTCGGCCTCTCTCCCTATGGCTCATGACTGTGGGGACAAGAGATGCTCTGAGGTCACCGTGGTGGGGAGGGGGAGGTGACAGGGTCTCATGAGATCAGACAGTCTGACAGGGCTCCTCTCCCACAGTAATCACCAGGAGAAGGAGGACTACATTGTCTACCTGGGTCGGTCAAACCTCAACTCCAGAACGCCTGGGGAGATGAAGTTTGAGGTGGAAAAGCTCATCCTGCATGAGGACTACAGTGAAGATACCCTTGCTCACCACAATGATATTGGTGAGTAGAAAACCCTCATCAGCCATAACAAGGATGGCTTGGGGGAGCAGGGTCCAAGGAGAGACCCAAGTGGGAGGTTGAGCTTGTAGGGAAACTTAAAGACTCTGCTTTAACAGCAAAGGGAGTGGTGGGGAAGTGTTCAGAGTGACATACGCAAGGGGCCTGGTGCTCCTCTGTAGACTCCCTGATTTTCCAAATAGCCTCCTCTGGGTGGCAGTGGCCCTGGGGGCATATAGCATGGGCTGGGACACTCCTTTGGTTGTTGGATGCAGCCTCTGCCTGTCCCAGGATATAGAACTTGGAGAAAGCACTGGGCTAGATTTCAGCCCAGCTCCCTCAGAAAAAATCCCCATACAGCTGTATGCAGCAGCCCCAGCTGTCCAAGCCTCTGTCAGCGGCTGGAACAAAGCCCTTGAGGTGTGGAACAGGAGAGGCTTGTCTCTGGTGACAAGGTGCCAGCAGGCCTCCTGGGATGACCTCTGACCTAACTGATGTAGGAATAGACAACCACTCCCTCGGGGTTTGGAGGGGAGAGATGGTGACAACCTGACAAGGTGGTGATCTATCCCCTCTGACCCCTTCCTCCTCCTCCAGCCTTGCTGAAGATCCGTTCCAACACGGGCCAGTGTGCGCAGCCATCCCGGTCCATACAGACCATCTGCCTGCCGCCAGAGAGCGGTGATGCCCGTTTTGGCACAAGCTGTGAGATCACTGGCTTTGGAAAAGAGAGTTCCTGTAAGTGACACGTGGGTCTGACTGAGAGGGTCCGGGGTGGGGGAGTGGTGGTGTTGTAAACTGGAAGTGAGCTCAGCTTGATCAACAGAGGACCGTGCAGGTAGAGATGGAAGCACTACGGAGGCAGCAGACAGGTCCAGGGATGGAGTGAGGAGTGCTGTTTAGGGAATGATGGGCTACAGAGTTAAATGGGTGGGAGTGAGGGACTAGAAGCGGGGTAAAGACCTAGATTTGGGTGGAAAAAGGAAAGAGGCTTTCCCTGGAAGGGACACTTTTTGGTCCCCTCCCTGGCAGAGAGTCCAAATGGGCGAGCTGGACAGACACATCTCACGTAAATTCCTCCCTGTTTCCTCCCCCAGCTGACTATCGCTATCCAGAGCAGCTGAAAATGACTGTTGTGAAGCTGGTCTCCCACCAGCAGTGTCAGCAGCCCCACTACTACGGCTCTGAAGTCACCACCAAAATGCTTTGTGCCGCTGACCCACAGTGGAAAACTGATTCCTGCCAGGTGAGAGTTCCAAGCATCTCTCTCCATCAACCTCAGATCTCCCCTGGGCTCCTGGGCCTGTCCCTACCAGTTTTGGGGAGCCTCTCTCCAGCCAAAGCCCTAAGAAGCCAGGACCAGGGACGGAGGTCTTAGAAGGCTTAAAGCAACCCTGTGTTTACCGAACATTGGTCAAGAGCCTGGCTTTGTGCTAGGCACTTCAGACTCGGGGAGGGAGGGGGACTAAGACCATAAGAACGGGAAAACAATAGAGAATAACACAACTCGGTGCTCAGAGAGTGGTGTGAATTATAAGTGATCTGTTCAGGAGCGGGAGGTGAGCGCCAACTAAATGGCCAGGTAGCGGGGGTTTTAGAGACAATGTGACTCAATAGGGATTCGAGGAGGCAGAGGGAAGAAAGGAGAGCATGTCAGTTGAAAGATACAAAAATGAGAATAAGCATGGCATATTTTGGGATGGGAAGGAGAAGTGGGGTCTATGAATGTGGACAGAATAGTAGATTGGAAAGCCAAGCAGAGGATTTTAAACTTGTTGTGGTAGGAAAGGGAAGTTCACTAAGGACTCTGATTCTAGGAAACTCTCCCCTCTCTCTCGGGCATGACTGGGTGGTAGGATCAGATGGCCCCCTTCTCGCTTCTCCCAGGGCTCACCTTGGTGTCTTCGGCTTAACAGGGAGATTCGGGGGGCCCAATGGTCTGCTCCATCCAAGGCCGCCTGACTCTGACGGGGATTGTGAGCTGGGGCCGAGATTGTGCCATGAAGGACAAGCCTGGCGTTTACACCAGGGTCTCAAGCTTCCTGCCTTGGATCCACACTCATACCGGGGGAGAGACTGGCCTAGCCCTCTGAGGGCCCCCAGAGAGCCAAGGGAGGAGAGGGGCGCCGCCCACTCCTATGCTGACCGTCATTTTTGCAGTAGGGCCACCTGCACCAGCTATGTATAAGGAAGAAACTGCGGAAGATGGGCTCTGCTGAGATGGTTTTGTTTGTGCTGCCCACTGGGGTGAACGACAATAGCTTTACCCTCAGATACGGGCCTGGGTGCTGGGTGCCCAGATCCTCCCCCTCCGGCCAGGACGGAAGGGTGGTCCTGAACCAGGATGGTACTGTCGTCTTCGGAACAAAAACCTGGAGTTAAAAATGGCACCTCCTGTGCATAGGTGGAAGGAGAGCCAGCTCCCCACTGTTGGGAAATGAATTATTTCCCAATTAGGAAGTGTAACGGAACTGAGGTCTCTTGAGAGAGCTTGGCCAATGTGGGCACAGTGGCTTAGAGAAGAGAGACCCTGATGACTCGAGGGAAGGGTTCTAACATTCCACGACTGTATCAGGGCACGTTATACATGCATGTGTGTGTTTGCACACTTGTGCACAGGATGTGTCAGTGTAAGAGTTGGTGTTCTGTATCTGACTACAAGTCTAGATATGTCCCCCCAATTGTATGGACTGTGATGCCACATGAAATGGTCTGTTTGGAGAGGTCGTGGGTCACTCCTGGGACCCACCTGGGTCTCTCATGTGGTGATAGCTATAAATGTATTATTCTAGGGCAGGGGCTAGGACTAGCACTAAATTTTCAGTTTCACTTTCACATTGATGCCCATTTCTTGGCCAGTTATCCCTTCTGACCTTCCAGGAGAGTTCATCCAATCCTCACTGAGTGAAGTGAGAACCACTCCTGTACACTAAATATTTAATAATTATATTCTGTTATTTTTATTTATATATATTTTTGTAATTTTGAATGAAGATGATCAATAAAATATGATTTTTCTGAAGATTTTGGCTTTTTCCTGGTGCCTGTATGAGAGGGAGTTGGGAGTACAAAAAGAAAATGACAGTGGCGGCACGTACCCCAGAGTTTCTGGTGGGGCTACATCTCTGGACTTCACGGGGCTTTGGGAAGCGGAGGCTGGGAGAGTTGTAGAGCAGGCCCTCCATTGCACATAAGGTACAAAAAGGTGCCCAAGCCAGAAGCCCACAGCGTGGTACCTGTGTGCAGGCTTTGTCCACTCCCAATTCCCCCCTCAGTCTGATGCCTTTGTGCAGTGCACATGTTGTACAACTGTACATAGTGACCCTCTTTAGGATTTATTCCACCGTATTCTCTTCACTCTGCTCCCCAACAATCCTTGGGCTGACATCAACCAAAGAGGACACTTGCATGAGTGAAAACTGCTGATCCAAAACCCAGCCCGGGGGTGGTTTGGGGTGGGAGAAGGGTATAGCCCAGTGGTAGAGTGCATGCTTAGCATGCACAAAGTCATGGGTTCAACCCCCAGAATCTCCGTAAAGTAAAAAAATAATAATGATAATAAATAAATAAATATTAGCCCCCCAAAAACAAAAATTAAAAATTAAAATACAAAAAAAACCCCAAAAACCAGCCTAGCTTGAGTCTGTGGCATTCAGGGAACAGAAACCATAATTTCCCATCATCTGTGCTTGGGGCTGGAGCTCAGTTTCCTCATTGTGTTATTGAAGCCCCTGATCAGCCATCACTATCCCTAATATCAAGGAGCCCAGAATCTAAAGCGGGGTGATATCCTAATAGGGGTGAATATATATTTTGAACCAAACATCAGTGTCTGAAGAACTGGGTATAGAAGGCAGGCAGGGAGATAGAGCTGGATGCCAAAATATTGGAATTTCCGAACTACATTAATGAGTTTTGGCAGTGTTTCTTAACCAAGTCATCTGAGAACTATATATATATTTGTCTATGCCCCACCCACTGAGACTGTTATTCAGGTCAGGGCTGGTTCCAGGGCTCATGATTTTAGAAAAATTCCCCAGGTGCTTCTGGTATGCAGCCCTGATTGAGATCTGTTAGGGAAAATTGGCCAGATTATGTGAAGGACTCAGTAAATTCAAGATGTGATCAGCATATGCTCTCTGCATGAACAGTTAGTTTTCTGAGTGGGATTTGGGAGTACAAGGTCTCCTGGACTTTCTGTTCAGAGGATCCCTAGACCATGGACCTCCGGAGGGCAAGGACCCGGAGTATTCAGTTTTTGTCCCCGTAATCTAGCATGTCATTTCATTTAGTATGATGCAGTGGTTCCAGAGCATGGATTTTGGAGTCAGGTGGCCTGGACTAGACTCCTGGCTCTAAAACACTAGCTGTGTGACTTGGGAAAGACTCTTCTCCTCTTGTGCCTCAGTTTCCTCATCTGTATAAAAGAGATAATAATGTCTACCTCTCAGGATTGTTACAAGGATTCATGAGTTCATAAGTCTCTTGGCCATAATCCTGGCACCTACTAAAGGCACAAAAACAGTAGCTACTATTACAAAATCCTGTAAATTGAATTGAATTGAATGGGAACCCCCTCTCCTCTTCCACCCCAGGATTGCACAGGTGTGTTTTGTGGCAGCTGAAACTTACTAGGAGAGAAAAGGCAAGATGTGAGGCCCAAGGGCCCAGCCCAGGCTGAGTTGCTGCTCAGCCTCTGCTTTCCCCCGCAGGGGCCAAGAAAGGTCTTGTTCCAACTTGAGCATCACCAGCATCAGGGCTCGCAGACACTGAAAACAGGAAGTCTCAGCCCCACTGGTTGAGCAATGACACTGCTAGCTCTCTTCAGACCATTTCCAGCCACCAGCCCGACCCCCAGCCAGCTGCTGCTTCTTCCCAGTCACAGACCACACTTGGGGTTGGCAGGGGATAGGCCACTTCTCCAGCAGCCAGTTTCATGGCTCCAGATACTCCCCTGTCACACACTTTAGGGACAACCTTCTAGTACTTCCTATGCACTGGACATTGCACTAAGTTCTTCATATATTATCTGGTTTAATCTTCGTAACAACTCTATGAGGCAGGTGCAGTCATTAGCCCTATTTTACAGCAGAGAAAATGGAGGCATAGAGAGATTGGCCAGCCCAAGGCGATGTCGGGTGGTGAGTGCCAGACCCAGGCAGCTGGCTCCAGAGTGCACAGGTCCGGCACTACGACACATGAGCTCTCAGCAGGGCCCACCCTGCAAAGAGACAGCAGCCCTCTTTTCAAGCTCCTTACTTCAGGGATGCAGGGTGCAGGGAGGCTAAGTGTATCAGAATTTCAACTCTGGCCTAGATTCTAATCCTTTCCTCTTAAAAGATTCCCAGACCAAGGAAAGAAATCACCCTTAGCCACCAGTTTCAAAGTCAAACTTCCCCCTTCTCAAGCTAACCTCAGACTTTTGGGTTAAAACCTGATAGCCTTGAAGTGGTTTCCGTTTTCACCAGCACTCCTCCTTCTGAAATAGTCTGTGGCCCGTTCTACTATCAGAACTCAACTTGATTTCCACTCATGCTCTGCCTTTCCCAAGCCAGCCCTGTACAACAACCACACCCCCGCCCATACCCGCCACCTGGTGTGTCCACCTACCATCCCAACAGCAAACATTTGGGGCTGCCCTTTGAGTCAGACACAGTAGAGGAGTTTGCTGAGGTGTTCTTTAAATAACAGTACTACTGAAATATATTAATTCACATGCCACTCAATTCACCCATTTAAAGTGTACAACTCAATGATTTCTAGTATATTCCCAAAATTGTGCAAATATCACCACAATTAACTACAGAAAAATTTTGTCACCTCAAAAAGGAACCCTGTGAGACAGGAAGGAAGGGGGCAGGGCACAGCCATTCAAGGAATAACACAGCAATTAACACCAGAATGGCAGTAGGCCTTGAGGCTCAATATGGTGGGAGATTTGACTTCTAGTAGAACTTGCGCTTCATTATACGCTCACTGTAACATACTAGCATGGTGAATAACATGCCCACAGGCGCCATGACAATCCCAAGGCTAGCCACAAAAGGTCAAAGAGTGGGAAATGGCCAACTTCCTGGGAATCCCAGCCCCTTCCCCAGGGTAGTTAGATTGGTCCTTCTACTTATTAGTATATGAAGCTACTGAGTCCATAAAAACCGCCTTTTTGCTCACTCTTCTTTGGAGATGGCCTGCACTTTGTCTATGGAGTGTGTACCTACTCTTACTCTAATCTGAGCCCCTAAACCACACACCTTTCTCTTGCCTTGAAACAGCCTACACTCTATGTAGTATGTATCTCTCTAAATAAACCTTCCTCTACTCAACTGTGGCTCACTCTTGAATTCTTTCCCATGCAAAGCCAAGGACCCACTCTTGGCGGCGCACATCCCAGGGACTCAACAGAGACCTGGGACAAGGCCCTCCTCACACCTCACGTCCTTTTTTCCTGTATCACCTGTACCCATCAGCAATCACTTTCTTTTTCTCCCCAATTTCCTTAGCCTCTAATCTACTTGCTGTCTCTACGGTTTGGCCTGTTCTGGACATTTCATATAAATAGAATCATATAATAAGTGGTCTTCTGTGACAGACTCTTCCCCTGCCATGATGATTTCCAGTTCTGTCACGCTGTAGCCATGTATCAGTGGTGGTGTTGAGTTTCAAGCAGCAAATTCGGAGAAAAGGTAGTCTAGGCCCCCTTCTGACCTTGCAGTCCCACGGAGTCCTTCAACAACCTTAAAACGTTTTTTCTTTAAGGATCTAGACACCAAGCGTTGTTTTAGATGCTGGGGATACAAGAATGAATCGGACGTAGTCCCAGTCCTCACAAAATTGCAAAGGAGACAGAACCATGCCCGCAATTTAATGTGAGAAATGCTATAATAAAGTGCACGGAACAGTGATGAGGAAGCAATTAATTCTGCCTTGGCACATCAAGGAAGACTTTACAGGAGAGGTGATATTTTACCTGGGCCTTCAAAGATGCAAAGAAATTTGCCAAACATGGAGGAAAAAGGCATTCCAGGCTTTGGGAAGAACATGAAGGCATGAAAGGCAAGGCATTCTCAAGAAGTGATGAATAAACTGTTGTGGTAGAGAAAAGAGTGTGAGGGCCAATGAGCAAGCAGAAGAGTGGAGTGAGCACTGGTCAGGAGCTGCTGGGATCCGGCTAATAAGGACCCTTAGGCAGGGCTGATACTTAGTAGCAGGCGCCAGTACTGCTCATCACTAAAAGGCTGCTGTCCCAAGGTCCCTTCCATGTAGCTCCTGTCACCCAGTGTCTCTCCACTTCTTCATGACCCAGCAACCATAGGGTTAATGCCTGGCAGAGGGTCCCCAACAGGGGCCTCTGAGATTCCCTCCCTCCTCCAGCTGCTGTCCAAGTGTTGGTACTCTGAAGTCTTCCTGCTAGTTAAATATTTTGAATATCACCTCTTGCCCTCAGGTAGTATGTTTCCAAATCTAGAAAGTTAATTAAGGTCAAAGAGGCATACTTTTTTTTCTTTTTCTTCTTAACTAAAAATTTCCACCCAATTCTGAAAGTCAAATGCTTCCATAGCATTCCACAGCCATTGTTAACTTGTATCATCTCTGGCTTCTTGAGTCTCCTCTGCCACCTCTGCTTGGCCTGGAATTTTGGGTCCCCCAAGGTCAGATCCTAGATTAGCTCCTCTTTCCACCCTCAACTTTCTCCCACACAGTTTTATTCACACCCAGGCTTAAATTACCACCAACAAACAGTTGATTCACAAAAGCTTATCTCCAGCCAGACCTCTCCTCTGAGCTCCAAACCCTTATTTTCCATTGTCTGCTTTACACCCACTTCTAGGTTTGTCACATATGGGGCACCTCAACCTGCCCCAAATTAGTTCTGTCTTCAGGCCTCAACCTGATGGACTTCTTCCATTATTCTCTGGCTCAGGTCATGGTACCACCTCCATTCACCTCCAGAAGCCTAGGAGTCATCCTGACGCTTCTCTCCTCTCACCCACCTCATCCCATCGGGTCACCAAATCCTGGCAGTTTGCCTAATAGCTCTTGAAGTCATCCATTTGTCTCCATTTTTATCACCACCATTACTTGAGCCCATGCAACCATCAACTCATGCCTGGACCACCACAATAGCTTCCCAATGGCCTCCCTCACTGACCCTTATTTCTCCTTTTACTCCCTCCCACCACCACCCCCACTCCTCCTCCCAATCCATTCTGCTTACATGAAGCAAGAAATTCTTTTGAAAATGCAGATGTGCTCAATGACTCCCATTGCTCCTGGCTGGTTAGCTTGGGCAGGGCCTGGCCCCTTCTTCCTCTCCAACCTCTCCCAGTCTTGCCCTACTCAGCCATTCTCTTACAGTTCCTCTGTTACCGCAGGGCCCTTGTTCACAATGTTCCTTCTGCCTAGGACTTTTCCCAGACTTTCTTTGGCTGGTAAAGTTCTTCCTCATGCTTCAGAGATTGCTTCACCAAGGAAGTCTTTCCTGTGTTGTCTCTGTCTGCTATTTTGTCTACAGTCTTATCACGCTATGCACCACTTCTCTGATGCACTTGTCACTACTGCAATAACACTATTTGATTAACGTTTGCTTTTCCCCACCAAACTGTAACCTCTGCGAGGGACAGTATGCTTTCTATCACCACTATATCCCCAGCACCAAGCATGATGTCTAGAATATGGCAGACAACTAACAAATATTTATTGAGAGAAGGCATTCTGATGAGTTTCTGTCCATCTTTCCTCTGCTTCTTCTTTTACGTAGTTGTGTTTACACTCTACCCATAATTTTGTATCTTATCTTTCGCCTTTGTCATATTTTGTCATAAACCATTTCCTGTGGTATTACAAATCTCTCCAAGCCTATGCGTGTAATGGAACTAATAATAACATTCATCCAACCTACCTTTCTGGACTGAGGCATCACAGATTAAGTAGGTGAAAGTTCTTTGTAATCTCTATGTACATATGAGACGGTATTATTTGCATTTAAGAGGAAATGGAGGTGAAATTTCTTTCTGGTGCCCTCCTCACCCTTGGTTTTATACCTCTTTTCCCTGGGCATTTTTTGTTTTTGTTTTTTGGTGCCCTTGTTCTGCCTGACCACCTCGTTAAGGGCTAAAATAACTCATTAACTTTAATATGCTACCAGCCCAAGGAGGTTTGCATTTTTTAAAAGGACATCTAAAAGAAGGGCACTTAGGCCAAGGTGATGAAGTTTGGGGGCTGGGAGAGGCCTCAAGATATGCACTGATTTACCCTTGACTCATTTCACTCATTAATTTGACAAACACTTTATTGAGAGTTGGTTGTGGGCCTGCCACTGTGCTGTGTACCGGGTGTAGAGATGGAAGACCCAGTCTCAGCTTCAGTGGGTGGAAGTAAAGTGGAGGGGACAGATAAGCCAATGAATAGAGTACAGTGAGAGCGCAGCTGTACCGAAGACATGTGAGATGGGCGTGGAGGGCTGAGAGCGGAGTCTCGATGGGCTAACATGGAAGGGAGAAACGACCATCTGAGCAAAGGAAACAGCACGTGCAAAGCTAAAGAGGAAGCAGAACACGTGGGGCATTCAAGGAACTGCAGGGAGTTCAAGTGGATGGGCTACAGGGCCAACTTTGGAGAGGTGATGTGGCTGGAGGGATTGGCGAGAGCTGAAACCTGAGGGCCTAGAGGACCCTGCCTGCCACACGAAGGACTTTGGGCTTTATTGTGATGGGGAGTCGTTAGAAAGTTTGAAGCATGGGGAGCAGTGTGAAAGATTGATTAAAAGAAGATTATTTGGCCTAGATGACTATGGGCAGGGAAAACCAGCTCAGAGACGAGTACAATAATCCAGGTAGGCACTGAAGAATGTCTGAACCAGCACAGTGGGGTGGGAGGGGAGGGTACAGATGCGGGAGCCTTGGTGGGGACAGGATAGCCTTGGAACCTGGCTGGGGTGAAAGGCGGAGAAGGACACATCATCGGGTTTAGCCTCCTGCCCTCGGACAGGTGAGATACTGCATAATTTTACAGATGAGAAACTGAGGTTCTACCCTAAGCAATTTCCCTAAAGCCCCATCTAGTAGGTAATAGACCAGACTAGAGTGGCTACTGGTGGAAGTGTGGGGATTAGTATCCACAGGGCAAGCCAGACCTGCTCTTGGCCTCTGTGACTCTGTCCACTCAAAGGAGAACTTTTTCATCACCCTAATCATCAAGTGGTGATGTCATCCAACACTTCAGGGGTTGAGGCTTGTTCCCTAAACATCCCACATCTGCTCAGCCCTGTGACCATGCTTCTGACTGAAGGAGCTTCTCCCAAACCTCCCAGTCCTGTGATGCACTGTCAGCGAACCAGTGGATGGGTCTGTGGTAGGGGATTAGCAGACGCTGGATCTAGCTGTTTGCTTTCTGGCTTCCTAGAACTGAGACATGACTTCTGGTGTTTGAGAAGATCATAAGCACTTGGCACATAGTCAGGTTCTGCATGCAGGATGTGAAAATGAAGTGGATTTTGTAAGAACTCTGACTTGTGGGGTTTTCAGCCCAATCCCTCCATCCCCCTTTTCTGTGGTCTGCCAACTGCCTTTAATTTCTCACTCTCTTTTAATATGAAGGAAAGGGAACGACTTCCCTCTCTCACCTGGCTCTTCCCATCTTTGCTCTGCAGTCTCCTTAGCTCTCTCCAGAGCGTATGTATAAGCTGGGGTCAATGCCACTGGCAAATGGGACTTCAAGTTTGGTTTCACCCCTAAGTAGTTTGGTGACAAGGCTCAGCCCCAACCTCAGTTTTTCTCTTATTCCTCACTACACCTGTATACCACTTACCATCACACAATGAGAGGCTCTGCCAGGGGAGCTCCAAGCTTTGCAGTCCCAGCAGAATTGGATGTACGTGTGGAGTTAACAGCTATTGATCAGATCACTTTTATTCTCCACTGGAATCTGGCCACCATCCCTGGCCTTGGAGAGCTATTAGAATTTTGCCAGGATGCCCTATTGGTGGACATACCAGAAGTCCTGCTGTGACAGCAGCCTATTGTAGCCCTGTCAAAGCAAGACACCCTCAGGCCCTTTATCTCAGCCCTTTCTGTCTCCTTGGCTGGACTACTTCATGGCTGAGAGAATGAGAAAGGATGGATAGAGACACAGAATGGGATAAACACTTTGCTTAAAACAAGTCTAAAGCGGTTGTTCTTAGGACAGTCCTTAAATCAGCAACTTCAGCATCGCCTGGCATTCGTGAGAAGTGCAAAATTATCAGCCCCCCCCCCATATCGACTGAATCAGAA